TAATAATAATAATCCGAGCAGTTCCAATAGGGTCTTCGCACCCTTTTGGGTGCTCGGACCCTAATTAGTTCTTTTATGACATTTGACTGTAAAATGTCTGTTTTTTTTAAATTGTATTTATCAGCAGATAATACATAGTACAGATATTTGCCACTACTTGAAAAAAATAATAATAAAGGATTTAAAAATAACAAAATAAAATAATTCTGTAAACAATATTTTATTGTAATTACAATATTTATTTATTTTTTCTTTACAACTAATTCCCCTGATTGTTAAATGACAGAAAATATCTAAAATCACAGAAAGAAGAAGAAAAAAAAAATCCATTTTTTTGGTGTTATTTTCACAGTTGTAGTTTTTGGACGTTACGGTATTCCACCCTTTTTTTTTTTTTTTTAGCACATCTGACACAAGGTGCCAGATGTTCACAGTTTTTAAGGCTTGTTTTGTTCTTTTTACAGTTTTTATCTCATTCCTGTTGTATTGCAGCAGGATTAGCCTTTTTTCAACAACACTTCAGCCTAAGATCTGCAGTAAAAGCTGAATGCGTGTTAGTTTTATTTGTCAGAAATGCTGCGTTTAGTGTCATAGAAATATTTAGACATGCTCGGTATTATAGGATTTGCAGCCTGGCATTTACGCAGCACACAGAAAAAGATCCTTGACAGAGGTTCACCTTATTCAGCCTTCATATCTTAACGTTTTAAGAATTCAGTTAATTTTGTTACTGACTCGTTTACTTGAACTACATGCCTTTATTGTAAAGCAGTATTAGGGTCAGAGTACTGTGAGACCATCTGAAGAGTATTAGTACATATGCTGAATATTACATTTATATAATTTAAATTGCGAGCAATCAGAGGTGAATTATGGCCCTTTTGGCTTCCCATACTTTGTGCATTTTCACACTGACCCTGAGTTAGAAGCATCTTGTTGTGTGCATAGAGTGAAGTAATGCGGATTATTGATTACAGTTAACACACAATTTATTATAAAATAAATATGATTTTGTCAATTTGTGATGTTCAAGCTTAAACAGTTCTCCCTCATAGAAAACGCAGGTCCTCAGATTACGGGCTCTCCATCCTGGACCTGCGCACCCCCGTGGAGCCGCGCCGCCTTCTCACGGACGGCCGCAAGGTGACGCCCTCGTTCAGCTTAAAGCGCGCGATGCCACCTGCCTCGTCCAGCTTCTTGGCGCTGCAGCACGGTGTCGGGACCTTCACGGTGTTGCCGAACTTGGAGTAGTCCACCGCGTACATACCGTCCTCCTCGGAGACGGTGGGCACGAAGCGCTGCCCCCACAGGATCTCCTCCGACACGTAGGAGGTTCTGGCCTGCGTGGTGATGCCGGTGGTCTCCACGACCCCCTCCAGCACCACGATCACCTCGATGTCCTCGTGCTGCAGGTCGGAGGCTGACAGCTGGTACAGGGGGCTGTCCTTGTCCATCACGTGGCAGATGATGAGGGGAGACACCAGGAAGACGCCGTTGGTGCCCACCGGGTTATCCATGTGGATGTCGATCTGGTCCAGCGGCACCACTTCGCCCTCCTCCGTGGTGGTTCTCCTGACCACCTGCATCCGCACGGTGGCGCTGATGATCATGCTTTTCCGCAGGTCCCCGATGCGGATCATGAAGCACAGCTTGTTGTTTCGGACGGAGATGACGGCGTACTTGCTGAAAATGAGCGTCTCTGCGCGCCGGTTGGCCTGCGCAGTTTTCATGAAGATGCAGCCCAGCATGATGGCGTTGATGACCAGCCCGACGATGTTCTGCACGATCAGGATGATGATGGCGGAGACGCATTCCTCTGTGACCATCCTGCCTCCGAAGCCGATGGTCACCTGGACCTCTATGGAGAAGAGGAACGCGGAGGAGAAGGAGCGGATTTCCGTTACGCACGGGACGAAGCCCTCTCCTCTCTGGTCCAGGTCGCCGTGCGCAAAGGCAACGAGCCACCAGATCATCCCGAAGAGGAGCCAGCTGCACAGGAAGGACATGGTGAAGATGATGAGCGTGTGGAGCCATTTTAAATCCACTAGTGTGGTGAACACGTCCTGCAAGAACCGGCCCTGTTCTCGGATGTTGGTATGCGCCACATTGCAGGTGCCGTTCTTGGCGACGAACCGAGCCTTTCCCGATTTCGCCTTGAACTTTGGCTGCAGGACATCCTCAGCCAAACGTGTCAGCAAGTAATCCTCAGGAATGAGTCCCTTTCTGGACAACATAGCGCTCCCATACTACTACCCACAGCCTTTGGGCTTTGCTGGTAGCGCCTGCGCTCCTTTAAGGTGATTTCTTCCCCTCTCTCCCTCTTCTTACCAACCGGGCCGGGCCGGTGTCAGCTCCTCGGCAGCTGTCGGGCGCAGGCGGGGAGAGTCTTGTTGTCACCGTTTTCTGGAGGTATGCGCGCTCCTCACGTTGCCTCCAGATCAGGCGCTTCAAAGCCGCGAAGTCCCCTGAGAACGCTCCTCTTCCAGCTCCGCAGCTGCCGCCGTCACTCACAGCACCGCCAGACCGGGCACAAGGCTGCACCGCGCCGCCCGGGCTCTGCGCACCGACCCACCCGCGCGTAAAAGGGGAAATTCAGTGAAATGTGAAATGCTGATGGGCCTCTGAGCGGAGTTTTATCACATTTGGATGAGGAGGCAGGCTCATGTGGCGCAGTCGGCTCCGTGCTGACTTCGCCACTTGACTACAGCGCGGTAACGTGAGATGGAGAGATTGTGAGGTGGAGAGGCAGTCCCTCCCTCCCTCCTCCATCCTTGTGTTGCCCTTCCTGTGATTTTCAAAGAGAATGCAGGAGAGGGCCCAGAACGCATTAAAAAGTGTCAGCCTCCAGGCCACGGGGAGCTCACAATCTAAATATAAAGTGGCTTAAATATAGGACAGTGTACAGTTAATCAAGCCCAGGCTGGTTTCTGGACACACTATTCAACCAGATGTTCTTTTTTTATTACCTCTGTTCTTTTCATGCCACCCATGGAGAGGCTTTTACTTTACAGGCCTCAGTGCTCCTCTGGCAGCCACATAACTTTCTAAAGTCAGATGTCAGTCTTGGCTCCAGCAGGTGCAGCTGCTCATCCCAGCATGACACCCACGAGCACACGGCTGAAGATTATCACTATGTGACCAGGATCATATATTCATCAACTGAGCTCCGAATCATTCCAGTTCTGTGATGATTCATCTGTTCTGTCACGAGCATTCCCCCCCAAACAACCCTCCACACACGCTTTAATGATAATTTATGTTTTATTAACAAAGAATTAACATTTTTTTATGTACAAATATAATACAACATGCTTAAAAAATAAAAAGGAATATATTCCACGGGGGGGCAATTGCACTTCGAATGTCTTCCTTTTAATGCGTTCCTCCTCTTGTGCTACTTGTCTGCTCGCACGAAGGAGGCGAAGATGCTGTCCTCCTTTTCCAGCAGGGCCTGGGGTCTGTCGTACTCCAGGATGACGCCCCGCTTCATCACAATCACCAGGTCGGCATTCAGGATGGTGTGGACGCGATGCTGCACGACGACAGAACAAACTAAGTCAATACAGCCCCGAGAGACCAACTGTGCCATTAAACACACTTCTGTTTGTTGAATCAGGTCTCGGTTGGTTAAAACAAAGCTCTAATGATTCATCAGACAAATATTTTGCACTAATCGAGCAATTTTGAGCCTGAAAATCACATTAAAACAGCCGTTATATTAAAGTAGGAGATGAAATAAGAGATCTGCCTCCACAGTAAATATCAAAGGTTGGCATTTCAAGTCGTCAGGTTTCTGGTGGCCTCTTTTTTTTCATCATGAGAAACATCCAAAGTGAACAACGCTGACATTTTAACATTCATGTTTGGCCTTTATAATGAAATAACTGCAGTCATAAATCAGGATCTGCTCTGATTCCCCCTCTCTTAGTGTTCTCTCTTCATTTTAAGGCCAGTCTGCAGCAGCTCTTTGCAGCAGTTTAAACAAATGCATCAGCAGTTTAGGACGAGGTCGGCGCTCTCAGGGGGGGAGTTGTGAAGCTGTATGCGATACTGTAAATGCCTCCAGCACAAGGGGAGATACTCACTGCTATAGTAACTACTGTTCGGTCGGCAAACGCCGTCATCACCACTTTCTGCAGGATGCTCTCCTGTGGAGGGGAAGAAGGAAGTCAACAAACATCAGAGTGTGTTTAAAGCAAAGAAGCATTTTAAAGGTTAACGTTTTCCTTTATGATGGTAAAAACTGAAGTTATTCTGCTCAAACCTCACTCGTTCCTCGACTCATTAAAAGCTCACTGTGCTTCCTGGAGGGCAGCGCTGCAGCGTTATTGTGAGCTAAAGCCGGCGCTCTTTGTGACCGGTCGGTCAAGAGGGGCTCTGAAGTGGGAAGGAACCGTCGGCTGACATCCCCCCTCAGGCTCTCACTGAGCTCTCCCTTCTATCCCAGTTTCCTTTTTCTATTTCAAGCCTTCCTTCCTACTTTCTTTTTATACTCAAATCTGAAAACATCAGTTAAAGCATTCAAATCTGATCACTAACCACCGAAATAATTCACATTAATCAACTGAATCTACTGTTTGCTGGTGCCATTAACTCCTTATATTTCCATTTAAGCTCAGTTAGGAGCCATAGAACTGCATTAGTCCTACGTATACACTGATATTGCTTCATACTATAAGGTTGTTCTTTCCCCTCATTGTTCCTTGTTGCCTGCCAACAGATGAACATTCTGATCTTCGCTTCACCTCCTCCATCTCTGTTCATCCTCACCTGCCTTCACCTCCCTTCCCCCGCCTTCACCTCCCTTCCCCCCTCCTCCCCACTCGCTGCCTCAAAGATGCTCAACTGACCGTTGCCATGTCGATGGAGGCCGTGGCTTCGTCCATGATGAGGATGCTGCTCTTCCTGACGAAGGCTCGGGCCAAACAGAACAGCTGCCTCTGACCCTGACTGAAGTTCTCTCCTCCCTCCGTCACCATGGCATCTGAAAATGCAAACGTGTATTATAAGAAATCGTGTTTAAAAAAATGAGAAAAGGGAAAATCTGGCAGCACAGGTGCCAGAAAAAATATGTTGAAAAGCTGTGACTGTACTGTAACGTTAAAAAAACTGTAAAAACTATGTAAATACCAGCAAGTATTGGTAAAATAATGATGTCAGATACAGTAAATACACTGTAAAAGAAAGAATCCAGATTTCTGATGAGGACATTATGGATAGTTTTGGCCCGATTTTTTTTTTTTAATGTTTTGCTTAATTTCGATGTTAATTAATATTTTTTTCATTTTACTATAAATCTTTAATTTAACAAAACAAGGAATATCTGTAAAGGATTGTTAAATTAATTATTTAGCTTTTTTCTCAAGCTTTTTTGTCAAATAACGACAAATATCTGTAAAATACCTTTTTTTCCCCCCCTTTAAAAATACAGATTTGATGTGGACATTATTTAAAGATTAAATTTAATGCTTCTTTGCTGCCAATTTACTAGTTATTTGTAATTTAACAAAAGAAGGAAAATCTTAAAAATACCAGTTAAAAAAATTGTGCTTCAAAATTGTTAAAAAAAATTTTTTTTACAGTGCAGCCAGTATTCATACCAGTGTGTATTCAACGGTTATTTCTGCTAAATGAGGGAAAACTTAAGTGGCCGTTAAGCTCCGTCCTCCAGATCAATACTTGATGGATTTTCTATTTACGTCTCGGTTATGAACGAGGTCAGCTCATTAAAAATGCTTGAAAAAACCCCAAACTGCTCTCCGTTTGTGCTTTGAGCCACATCACATGCAGTAAACAGTCGTTTCCTTTACAGAAGATTTATGTTTTATCCTAATGGGACGGTTCGTCCTTGAGATAAACACAAAGTCAAATCCAAACTATGTGCCGACGTGCTTCGCTAATAACGCTGACTCATACAACCTCGTAGCCCTGACAAAGCTTCACATGTGGATGCTGCTGCTGCTGAGAACCCCCACGTTCTAAAGCCGGGATGCTCTGAACACTGCAGCACAGAAGTTTCAAGGTGAGAAGTACAGTCTGTTCCTGAGTTATGGAGTTGGATAAAGGTTAGAATACTGCAGCAGACCCAATCTCCCTCCTAAAGCCTCAGGACTAAACCTCCCAGATTGAACTGTTCCATTCGAGTCTGTTGATTTGTGAAGGCAGGAAATGGGTTAAAGCGAGAGAAATGGGAACCACTATCACGACAGCACACGCTGCTCGTGAACAATGCTTCATCATTATTAAAAAAAAAAGTCAATTTAGACTCGTGTTTAATTAGCAGCTGCCGAGCTGATTACTTCCTGTTTGCCAGTTTAAAGTGTTTAAATGTAAACCGCCGCAAGTCAGGAAGGACGTCTGTGAATCCTGCAGCATTTACGTTTGGTTTGAGCAAAACTACCACGTTATATGTCACCAGTTTTGCTATGAACTACAGGCAAGCCCCTCAGAGAAAGTCTATAGGTGTTGAAATGTCCAAATTAGAGCCTTTATGCACTTGATCACTTGACAGTCCGTACGCACTTAGCAAGAAAACTAAATCTGAGAGTGTGGAGACTGGAACTGGGCCATCATGACATCACCATGTGGTTGACCTTTTGGTAAATGGTCTGCACTTATATAGCACTTTTATCCAAAGCGCTTTACAATGTGTTGCTCATTCACCCATTCACACACATTCATACACCAATGGCGACAGAGCTGCCATGCAAGGTACTGCCTGCCATTGGGAGCAACTTCGGGTTCGGTGTCTTGCCCAAGGACACTTGGACTATGGAGGGGATCGAACTGACAACCTTGCGATCAGAGGACAACCCGCTCTACCACCTGAGCCCCAGCCGTTTCACCATTTATCCTCACAGACATTTCTGCTGTATTTGCCATAATTAGCACATTAGATCTTGACTTCTAGCCAGAAACATGAGGTCACAGTCACCTTGCTTTACAAATTCTAATCAGTTCCTTGAATCCACATGGACGTTCCTGCCAAGTTTGAAGAAACTACCCTCAGGCTTTACTCATGCACCACATGGATGAGAATGGGACTAAAAACGTACGACAAAGACTAAAACCAGAGGACAAACGAAGGCACTTCTCAGGAATCACGAAGGTTAAACTATGATTGTAAACTGTAGATCATTTTATGTTTGTTCAACTTAGAAACACAAACTTAAAGCTACCAGCAGCATCATCATCTTACTGTCGATTTATGAGACTTAACAGATCAAATCCAGTCAACTTAAGATATTAAACTGAAACAACTGGCATTAGAAAATCAACTCCTTTTGTATTTTCTCACTTTAAGGAGTCGGTTTTGTGCCGATGAAGAACTAACAAACGTTGAAACCATTTTATAACGAAGCCACACTTACTTTGCTTTAGTGGAAGTGTACGAGGGCAGGAACTGAATCCAACATTTACTAAAACCTTCTATTATGATGTAAAGAAACAACCAGGATTTAACATTTCTTTCACTGTAAATGGCCTCTCCAGATCCCAAAAGAAGAGGATTGTACCTCTTGGTGGGAAGTCTGTTGAAGTTTTCTTTCTTTAAAAACTTGATTTATTGAGTTGATTAAACTCTCAGCAGTAGATTAATTCAACTCGTTATTTTAAGTCAAAAGACCCTAAATCAGACAACTACTGCTTATAAAATGATCTGAATATAAAAACTAAATATTTTAGGTTGAATTAACCAAAAATAAACAAAAACTTCAGTGGTGTTACCGAGATAAGATTCACTAATTTCTAGTCGTCACCTATTAAATGTCATGTATATTTAGATATGAGAATGTTTTGCATTAAATCATTCATGGTGCGGTTTTATTTTCTTCAGCTGTACCTTCATAAACACAACGTCCTCGTGTCTTCCTGGCTCTCTACATCACAAACTGCTTTATATGCAACATCAACACTCTGCCGTTACTTAAACCAAATTAAAGGACAAGCCTCATCATTCATTAACTCCTCGCCTGCAGATCGATGTCTTATTGAACATCTGGCTCCAGCAGCTCGGCTCAGACACGTCACACCTCGACACACACGTTTGTCGGCATCACAAGACGAGTGAAAGCAGC